CAGCAGCAGCAGCAGCAGCAGCAGCAGCAGCAGCAGCGCCGCGGCCGCAGCCTCGCGTGCGCGTGTCTCGCTGGCTGGTTGGCTCGCTCGCTCTTGGGCTTGGCTGCGGCGACGCACCGAAGAAGGAAAGAAGAAAGTTTTCTTCGGACTGGCTGGCACCGGGAAAGCTGAGGCCCTGGAGTGAGGCTCCTGCTCTCCCTCCCTCCCGCTCTCGCTCGCTGTCTCCAACCGGAGGGGAGGTGCTTCCACCGCAGCCCGGCGTGATGGCTGCCGAGCTGAGCATCGGCCCCGAGCTGCCCACCAGCCCCCTGGCCATGGAGTACGTCAACGACTTCGACCTGATGAAATTTGATGTGAAGAAGGAGCCGCTCGGGCGAGCCGATCGCTCGGGCAGGCACTGCACGCGCCTCCAGCCTGCCGGCTCGGTGTCCTCCACCCCCATCAGCACCCCTTGCAGCTCGGTGCCCTCCTCGCCCAGCTTCAGTCCCACCGAGCAGAAAACGCACCTGGAGGACCTCTACTGGATGGCCAACAGCTACCAGCAGATGAATCCGGAGGCGCTCAACCTCACGCCGGAGGACGCCGTGGAAGCCCTGATCGGGTCCCACCAAGTGCCCCAGCAGCTCCAGAGCTTCGAGAGCTTCCGGGCCGCCGCTGCCCACCACCACCACCACCCGCACCACCACCACCACCACCACCAGTACGGAGGGGTCCCCCACGAAGACCTGTCTGGCCCTGGGCACCCGCACCACCACCACCACCCGCACCATCACCAGGCCTCTCCTACCCCCTCCACTGCTTCCAGTTCATCCCAGCAGCTGCAGAACACGCACCCTCCTCACCCGTCCTCTGCCTCCTCCTCTGCCTCGTCTTCCAGCAGCGTGGAGGACCGGTTTTCCGACGACCAGCTGGTCTCCATGTCGGTGCGGGAGCTCAACAGGCACCTGAGGGGCTTCACCAAGGATGAAGTGATCCGCCTCAAGCAGAAGAGGCGGACCTTGAAGAACCGAGGCTATGCCCAGTCTTGCAGGTACAAGCGGGTCCAGCAGAAACATCACCTGGAGAATGAGAAGACCCAGCTGCTTCAGCAGGTAGAGCAGCTCAAGCAAGAAGTGACCCGGCTGGCCAGAGAAAGAGACGCCTACAAGCTCAAGTGCGAGAAACTGGCCAGCAATGGTTTCCGAGAGGCTGGATCCACCAGCGATAACCCATCTTCTCCCGAGTTCTTCATGTGAGTCCTTAAAAAACCAAGATCCCTAACCACCCCCCCATCCACTCCCCCCCCACTTGTGTCCCTTCTCCCCCCTCCGCTGACATCTCCATCCATCTACCCTCCCAAGCAGCGAGATTAAGGTTGAGAAAAAGAGAGAGAGTCAGAAGAATGACTGCGAGGCCTGGGGAGGGTGGGCTGCCTCCAGGCCAGGACCGTGTGGGGAACCTCTGCAGCAGCATCTTGTGCTTCTAGCTTAGCTGTGAAGGGCGGAAGGGGAAGGGTGCAACTTTTCCTCTTAACCGGCCAGCTTAATAGCAAGAAGGGGCTTTGGGGAGGGGAGAGATAGGTGGGGAGGGGGAAGGAAAAGCCTGGTAAAAGTTTTTTATACTACTCGATTGCTTGCTTGTAGAACTTTATCCTGGACTTTGCAAAACAAAGGGACGGGCACCGGACAAGCCATCTAGAATACCCGCTTTGGAGTTCCTAAAAACGAAGGAAGAACACATGCGAGGGGGGAAGTGCACCGATAGCCTGGAAAAGGAGCGAGGACAATATATGCAGGGCTCTCATAGACTGCCTGCTTTGAGAAAAAGGGACAGGATTCAGATGGGACTTAACCATGCAAGCGAGTAAAATAGGAAAGGAAATTAAAAAGAGAGAGACAGAAGCCTCCTCGGTTTTATTGCCTGCTTGATTATATAGAAAAAAAATACGAAAAATCTGCATTAAAAATATTAATCCTGCATGCTGGACATGTATGGTAACTTCTATTTTGTACCATTTTCTTGTTTAAGAATTTCGCATGTCGTTGATCATCGACCATACTTTTTTCTTTTTTTCTGTTGTTATTGTTTGTTTCTTTGAATAAGAAACTGTCACGAGTTCTATATAGAAAGCCCTCTTTTTACTTGCACATGCAACTGCTTGTCCTATCTCTCTATTAGCTTTATTTTTCTTTTTAAATTCTGGACTCAATCCACCAGACATGTTTCCTGCGCAAGTTTCACAGAAATCAAGGAGGTTACTGCGCAGGAGAACAGCTGGGGGTGGATTGGGCCCTCTCTTAGCTTGTAAATATCAGCCACGCCACATCAATCTGCACAGGGCAAAATGCAAGAACATTTCAGCAGGCTGGTTTTCAGTGATCATTTGTCACAGAAATAATAACCTACAAAGAAAAAAAGAAATTCTGGGCATTTTGCATTCAGAAAACATCTTTGTATATTTGGTGCACTTTTAAAAGCTGTAGTTGTTGTTTTTTTTTTGTTAATTTAGTTTTCATTTTGGTTTTTGTTGGGGCAGAAAGAGACATGCCTAGCCTCTTTTAATTCCCCAATCTTAATTAAATTACTTGGAGGTCAAGTCTGCTAAAATTAGGGGAGCTAATCTCCCATGTTTAGAAAGACTCAGCTTCCTTTGAATCCAGTTGGATTTCACTTCCAAGTAAGTATGTTTAAGAGTCACCTTTTGATTTTTTTTTTAAACCATTAACGTGGGAAGAATATAGTTTAAAGTGGCAGCAGTGCATAAATTCAGTGGTTCGGTCTTGCTACAGTCCATCATTGAGACCCAGCATCTGTGTGAACCACCTGATTTTGTTGCTCACTCAGAAAAAGAAAAAAGCTTATGATTTGCAATTATTTTTCCTCCTCCTCCAGAGCAACAATTGGCCGTTTGGTTTCTTAACTAAAGAAACGCGAGTCAGTTTCACTGACTGCGTCCAGAGCAGCTCACGTGTTTGAGTTCTGATTGGAGTTAAGTTTATCTGTGTGTAAAAGGATGAATGAATTCAGAATGCAGAGGGGGGAAAAAACAGCTTTCCCCTTTTTAAAAAGGTGGTTGTTTTAGCTTTGTAGCTTCCAAGTTTAGCTTTTGCAATGTTTAATCTGCTTTTTCACGCAGCCAGTGAGAGTGTAACCAAAATTTTTAGTAGTTTGGAAATTTATGGGTGTTTATTATAATAATTATTATTATTTCTTGTGATTTTTCCTTTTCCCCCCCTTCTTTTTCCTCCTGCAGGTCAGTAAAAGGATTTTACATTGCACTGACAAAAATACCAAAATGAAAACCTTTATTTTTTAGTTTCCTTTTAGAATTTGCTGGCACTGCTGGCCGGATGCATTTTAAGTTTGTATTAGTTTATAAATTAACAGTAATACCAAGAATCGTGAAAAATGAAAAGCATGGTGCTTGCAGTTTTAAATATTGTGAATATTAATAGTCATGCATCAGAAAATACCCCTCTAAGCTTTTGGGTTTTTATGGATTCAACTGTGTTGAAATCACAGCATTGCAGCAGCAGAAAATGTTTTTATTTCATGTAAACGTTCTGAAGGGATCAATTTCAAATCCTGCTTATGATATGAAAAATATTAAAAATACACCTCTTGGTCTTATTGTAGTTTTATTCAGACTGGTTTCTGGTTTTTGTTTCTCTTGGTTATTAAAATTGTTTCCTATTTTTGCTTACTAATATCATTGACATGGCATTTCTTTAAAGGGTGTACTTTTCTTGAGGGCATTGAGCTTGGGGAAAGATGGTGATGATGATTGCAATCATCGCCAATTCATCCAATCAGGCGAGTTATAGAGGGCTGCAAGGAACACAATTCAGGGCTTGATCCATGAAATGACTAACCCCACATTCCTGAAACATCACTGAATGCCCTGGGTTGTTTATGCTTAGAAGTAAGTCCCACTGTATTACATGAACTGTACTCCCATATAAACATGAGTTTGATGGAAAGTTGTGGGGCTAAGATAATAACCTTACCATTTAAAAACAAGGCAAATTAAAGGAACAATAAATCATGTAAATGTATTAGATTGACCACGTTAATGGTAAAATACACGGGGGTGGGGGTGGGGGAGGCATCGAGCAGGAATCCCCCTCCTCTTCCTAACTTTCTAGCTTCTTTGAATCTGACAGGCCCTTCAGTTCTAACCAGGTTTTACCTGAATGACAAGGAAAGGGTCCTCTATTTTCATGAACGCTTCCACTGGAAATATATTGGGCACCTGGAGAAATGTCGACATGACCTAGCTTGAGAAGGGAGTGACAGAGGAAGAGGGATTCCCAAAAGCAGGGCGGGCAGAGGTATTTGTGTGTGTGGTGGTGGTGCCCAAAATGTACGTTCTATGCCTGAAGTTGCTCCCGCTCACTTCTACCCATCCCCGCCCCCCGCCCACTAAAGTCCCTATCTGTTTTAGGTCCTGGGTCTGTCTTCATCCATTCTCCGATGGAGGACTCTACCTGAGCACAGCGTCACTCTCTAATCTCCACGCCCCCTTAAGCCCCCTAACCAGCACCAGATTTAAAACGGCCATTACACGGACTAGCCTCCCTCTGAAGTCCAGTGTCCACTCTGAGCTGAACTGCCCAGGCCTTGAGGGGATGGCCTGAAAGTCCTTCAAGCTCACTTTTTTGGGACAGGTCATGCAGCCCTTTTCTTCACAGCTCTGTTATTTCATGCCCCAGGGTGGTGGCGGCGGCGGCAGCAGCAGCAAT